AATACCCCTCTGTGCGTTCGTTGTATTACAAAAGATGAGGTGTCAAATGAAAGAAATTGGCCTCTAGAAAAGCACTAATGATTTTTTATTAATAGGGTTGCCATCTGTTAATAAAATTACTATATTCAATCATAATAAGCGTAGACATAAGTTCTGCACCGTCACTGTCAAACGAAAAGATTTAGCCTCTACATGTGCAATAACGTACTACTTTTCTGAGTAGGGTTGTCACCTATTAAAAAGTTAAAAGATTTTCGCCGTTCGTTGGATTAAAAATGATATACCAAATGAAAGGGCCTGGCCTTCGCATGTACAAAAGCTTTAATTTTTTAATAGGGTTGCCACCTAATTAAAAATTACTATCTTCTAAACGTAGTATAAAGGAAAGTCGAGATAATTTGACCACGCTAATCTCAAAAACTACTGAACGGATTTATCGAGATTTTTTAAGTATAATCTGTATCGATAGGAATATTATCTTTAGTACTTTAAATTCCTATAGGGTTTCCACCTGACTAAAAAATTATTATATCCGCACTATTCCTTGGATTACAAGAAATGGGGTGTCAAATAAAAGGGCTCGGCTTTTAGATGTTCAATAATGTATTACTTTTTGAGTAGGACTGCCACTTTTTAAAAATTATAAGATCTTCACCGTTCGTTGGACTAAAAACTGAGGTACCGAGTGAAAGGATATGGTCTCTGCATGTGCAATAAGTTTTTATTTTTTGTTTGAGTGCGGTTGCCACCTATTTAAAAATTATGTATGTATAATACGCGAAGTTAGTGACATTATGACATTAGATTTGCACAGTTCATTCAATAAAAAAAAAAATTAAGTGTCCAAGGAAAAGCCTTGGGCTTCCGATTTGCAGTAAGGTTTTATTTTTCGAAGAGGGTTTAAACCTGTTCGAAAAATTAAAAAATGTGGGCTGTTCGTTAGATTACAAGAAATGAGGTGTCAAATGAAAGGGCTTGGCCTCCAGATGCGCAATTATATATTATTTTTTAGTAGGGTTGCAACCGGGTTAGTTGTCAATCGCGCATACGAGGACGGCAAGTTATAATATATACTGGTTATGTAAGCAGTAACATTTTTGCCAAAAAATGGTCTTGCTAGATGGTGCCAGGGTCGAAATATTTTGAAAACCCGTATTTATGCTCTGATTTGTTTCACATTTGGCATGTTTACTTGAAAACCAAGTCAAAATCCACTACTACCAACAGTTGTAATTTTTTTTTTACTGAATAACGGATACAAATCTAAAAAAACCTTTTTAAAATTTAGACTTTTTCAATTTTTTTTTTACATTTTGTCATACGAGCGTTACGAAACGCCAGATTGGAAATACACATATGCACACGTACCGAAGAAATGTTTCACTGTCGGAAACCATCGTCCGCCGCAATTGTGTGCACTCAGACGAATTTCACTGCGGCAACTGAATACCGCAGTCCGCTGTAATTCTGTGTAGAACTTATATCATGGAAATTTTGTTCATAATTCTTTAGGCTCCGAACGACACCGCCGCGCAGATGTTTTCGTCACTCGGAACATATACATATGTATATGTACAACAGCTGTCAAAATAATAGCAGCAAAATTTAAATGATATTAATTGCAACTCCTGTTTTCTTATTGATTTTTAATAATTTTCATTTAAAATATAGCTCCGGATCATGGAAATCGGTTCACTATAACATATAGCTCCCATACAACTGATTGTTCAGATATGTGGTTTTGCGTTACAACTCATATTTTATTTCGTAATATTTTTTTATAATAGTAGTTTATACACTGCTTGGACCTGAATTTGGTGTACGAATGGCTTTTTAATACCTTTTTTGTACTGTGAAAGCTGTTGTTCGTTAAAGTCAAAGTGACTGAGTAATGCTTTCAAATAGGCAGCGGTCTATACCGCGTCTATTTCACATAAGTTGGGAACCAAAAAACACAAACCGAAAATCTACGCGCGTGATTACTGTTATATTAATTGATAAAAAACATCGAAAATTTTGCGAAAAACTTTTATTCATCATATCATTGTCTTCGGAAACTCCTAAAAATGAAAAATATTTGGGCAATTCACAAGGTGTCGTATTTGTCGTGTTTGTCGTGAAGTCATGATATTTCATGACAGTTGTAAAAATGTTATTATTGTTTTGTGAAGAAAAATAACACATGACGATACAACTCTGCAACCTATGTTTATTCGGTGTTAAGTGAGGTGTTCACAACCGTCGTGTTTTAACACAACTTTTGTTAGGAAAATATAACTTCACAACACCTTGTGAATTGCCCAATTAAAAAGCTTTGCAATAAATTAAACAAGTTTGTTTCGTTTGTGGTAAATTCGTTTTGAAATCAGACCAGCGTAAATTAGTCTCAAATAAAAATGCACTAGCATGCTATAAATGGTACTTTTTGCAATCTGAACCTGCACAAAATAAATACACTCCTGAATTCACATGTATTTCGTGCATTAGTGCGATGAATTTTTGGTGGACAAAAAAACGATTTTCGTTACCATTCGGTTTACCAATGATTTGGACAAATCCCGGAAAACACGAAGCTGAAAATTGTTATGCATGCACCAACAATACATTTGGTTTCAATCAAAAAAGTAAGTAAATTTAAATAAAACCATGAAATTTTGTATAGTTTGCCCTCACCTTAATCGCTGAGTGTATGAAATAGGTAAAAGTTTCTGTATGTTTGGAAGGTACCACGCCTAAGTATAACCAACCTTGGAAAGTCTTTTGCGTTTTTAAATCGGCAGCTGAGATAGGTCGATCTTCCACTCAGCCATCGATATATGCATATATATGTACGTACATATACTCATAAATATTTGATTCAATAGATCGGTCTTGTGTCGTCTACAAAGGTGTACCGAGCGCTCATTTAGCTGTTGCACATAGTGATGCTTTAAAAGTTCCAAATCATCCATCCGAACTCGAAACTGTCTATGATTGCAAACAGTCTATGGCAACGCCATTACCACTTGATGATGGATCTGATTACATTCCGATTGAAAACAATTTACCGTCTTTCATATCCCAAAAACACCTAAACAGCATGGTGCGTAAATTAAATCTCTCCCATAACAACGCAATGATTTTGGCATCAGAACTGAAAAGCGTGAATGTTTTAGCACCAGGAGTAAAAGTAACGGCCTACAAACATAGACAAGATCCGTTTATGCCATACTTCAAGTTATCGGAAGATGGCACTCAGGCTTATTGCATTGATTTTGCAGGTTTGATGAATGAAATGGGAATTACTGACTATAAACCCGAACAATGGCGTCTCTTTATTGACGCATCAAAGCGAAGTTTGAAAGCTGTCTTGCTCTATCGCGATAGTAGCAAGAAACCCGTTCCCATCTTGTATGCGGTTGGAATAAAGGAATCATACGAAACAATGCAATTAATATTAGATTGCATCAAGTACGAAGAGCACAGGTGGCGCGTGAACTGTGATTTTAAAGTTCTCTCACTACTATCAGGCATGCAAACGGGTACACTAAATACTGTTGTTTGTTCTGTCATTGGGATAGTAGAGCCAAATGCAATCACCAAATGTGATTGGCTAAAAAGAAAGGAACAATCGATTGGTAAATTCAATATAGTTCACGAGCCCTTGATAGCGCTTAACAAAATCATGCTTCCCGATTTACATATCAAACTTGGTGTTGTTAAGAATTACATCCAACAGTTGGTTAGAGTCAACGAAACTGCATTCCTATATTTGAAAAATAATGCCTTTCCAAAACTTTCCGTTGAAAAAATCCGTGAAGGTAGTTTTTTGATTGTATATGAGTGAAAATCTCTCAAGTGGTTGTAAACCGAATAAAGTGATTTGTGCGAAAATATCTTGACCGTCCAATTTTGGGTGGCCCATTTGAGAGATTTTCGCTCATATATTTTATTATATCTCTCTCTTGCTTTAAGAGCCCTATAATTTTTATTTCAGGTGTGCTTAATGGGCCGGACATCAGAAGATTAATGAAGGATCAAGGCTTCTTGGAAACTCTTGATGGCACAGCAGCCGTTGCAAGGGATGCAGTTCGGTCTTTAATTAAACACGTTCTGTGTAAAAATCGTACACCAGAATATGCCATTTTTATTGCGAACTTGATGGAACCTTTTGACGCCTTTGATGTGCACATGTCGCTTAAAATCCACATGCTACGCAGTCACTTTGACTTTTACGAGCAACAGCTTTCAACAGAAACCGAGGAGGTAGGAGAGATTTCACCAATCCATTATGTGTTTTCAGGACCGATTCGCTGTAAAACGATTGAATTCAATGTTGGCGGACTTTTGCTGGTCGATCGCAGGAGGCAAAGGATATTAAAAAAATCATTCGAGCAATAGAAACTAGCAAAATATGCCAAAACGGGATTGAAGAGAACCCAAATTTAGGTCCAAATTGTATATAAACTAATATTATAAAAAAAATATTACGAAATAAAATATGAGTTGTAAGGCAAAACCACATATCTGAACAATCAGTTCTATGGGAGCTATATGTTAAGTGAAGCGATTTCCATGAATTTCAGAAATAGCTAAGGTAATATCAAAATACAGTCACGTACAAAATTTTAGTAAAATAACCTTAAAACTGAGGTAATTATTAACAAAAATTTAAGCAGATTTTCAAGCACTGTTATCTCGAAAACTAGAGCCAATCTGGAAAAACAGAGGACGCCATTGAATTTAAAAGATCCCAGTTAAGTAAGATCAGTTATCAAAACCTTTGCCCAGAAAAAAATTCAAAACCTGAGCACAGTGTTTTAAACGACGAAGTTTGAAATATGAATTTATATGGTTTTTGTTAGATAGAAAGTTATATTTTTATAAAAAAAAATAATAAATATTAAATAAACAAAAGAAAAAATTTCAAATTTTGTTTAAAATGTCGCCACCCTATTTATTTTTCCACCACTTTATATTAATCATTGCTAATCATACAGTATGGAATACACTATACGTACCGATAGTTCTTCAGCATATTGTTCCGCTTTATTAGCTAAAGCTAAAAGGCGACTTTGTTCAATGCCCAACAAATTAAGAAAGTAAGTTCCATCTTTTTCAGCATTCGCTATAATCGATTCAGTTTTTTTTGGTTTCAACAAAACTTCGATTTCCATATTAACACCGTTTGATGAAGGTATGCTGCTTATTTGATGTATGGATCTTGGAGTTTCTTTGCGGTCAACTTCATCTATTAATGATTCAACCTTACTAGAATGTAATAAAGCTTCATTTTCGGAAGTTTTATGAGGAGAATTTCTGCACTGACTTTTTTTGGGCGAAATGATAGGTAACTGAGCTCGAAACTCTTGGCTTAGATGACGTAGTACAGGCAAATCAACGGTATTGTTGTTGACAGTTGAGATGTCAGTTGATGAAGGAATTTGCCGTGGAGATGTAGATGCACTTAATTTTTTTCTAAATTCAGTATAATCTTTACTTGGAGTAAGTTGTTGAAATTTACGAGCTAATTCTGACGAACTATCATCTTCCCGAGACGCGAATGTGCTGCTGCGTACTTTTTTGGGACTGTAAAAACCCTGTGCTAACGCTGCGGGTCCATACAAACGTTCTACCCTCTGCTGAATAAAACTAGTATTGCGACGATCTTCCAGCCATGGCGAATCACAGCGCTCGCATTCATTGGTGTCTGATCTGTTAATATTATACTGGCCGTTCAAAGCAGGTATTTTCCGGTTTGATACATCACCCCTTCCATCATCCAATTGTAGAAGAATTGGTGGTGCCAAAGAATTGTTTTTTTTACAATACTGAATACTATTTGATGATGGGCGAATAGGAGATACCTCGCGTGATTTATTTATATCCTGTCGTATTTTAGAATCATATGTTGTAAGATTTGAATATCCGTTCACGCAGCAAGCTAGATTCAGGTAACTGGGCTTTTTATCAGGACTGGTATCAGATAAATTTAGGAATTTATTCGAATTCGAGTTTGACGAGTTATATAAGGCACTTGTTGGGTTGGCATTTCCAAGAGGCTGCTTCAACACCATCTTCGACCCAAGTCCTGCACAATTTTCATTCATTTCAGGGGATCTCTGAACAGAACAGCGATCTCGTATATTTGTCGTGAATTCTCTAGTAATGTCTTTAACAGAAATCGGTGTTGGAAAATTCAGGCTTCCACTTGTATCTATTAACAATTAAGGAAAATCAAATCAATAGCAAATATATCTTAAACAATATGGGCATGAAGAGAACACACATATTCACACTGTTATAACCACTTACAAGTCTATTTTGCGCTGGTAATAAAAGTATTGTAACCGGTAACTAAAGTTCCTGTCAATTTTTAAATTCTTTTCGCTTTCTGTGTACCTACTCTTGTAACCAGTAAATTTTGTTACCATATCATAAGCTGGTAACAAAGTATTGTCCCGTGAAATATGCAATGCCAGAATTTCCACAATTCTTCATAGCTAAATGGCTGAATATTTTAACTACATTATCAACGTACCTAGAATCGCGGTGGTAAGATCTGGTAACATATTTTGGTAATAAAATTTACCGGTTACAAAGTCTTCGGTAACGTGCAGAATAGACCTGTTGAAGTTAAATCTCATTGCCTTCACTAGCCAGTAACAAGTACTTTATTCAATTTGTCTGCTATTAGTCTAAGAGCTAGCAACGTTTTCGAGAGAGAATTTCAGGACAGCTGGGTTTTTGATTGACATATCTCTCACTCCCTCGGTTAGCGTGGGAGCTATGTGGCAGGCGGTAATGGTTCCTTTGACTAGTGCGCATCGTATATTTACAGTTAAAAATGCTAATATTTTAAATCATATAGTAAGGCTAATTTTATTTTCATTGGCTTTAACTTAGCTTTTAGAAACGTAGATTTATTATTGCAGGCATGTCCGTTGTTGCCAACATTGTGCCAGACGTCATTTTTTATTAATAAAAGTTAAATTTTTCAACTCATTTTAGTAAGGCTCAAAATTTAATATGATGTTGTTTGAGTACTAATGAATCTAAAGTTAATTTGCCAGACATTAATTCGGTTGCTAAAGCAAGAGCCAGACCGATTTAAAGCTGAAAAGCATTACGCTGGTAGTGAGGGAGATAGTAGCAAAATAGTGAATTTTCATAGGATTTTAGTATGAAAACTGGAAACTATAACTACTTATCTAATGTTATCATAAATCTTAGTATTGGAATATCAAAAATAATTTTTTTTTTCAAATACATACGTTAAGGCAAATAAAAACTTAAAACATTTCAAAAAACACAACTTGTCTAGTGTCAGAATAAAGCAAGAAAAGCAAGAGAAAAACACAAACATTTTGATATTTATAACATTATTATATTTATAATTGTGTCATAAAAAACACTGGCTTACAACAAAAACGCGCACTGGATGCCACTATCCAATTCCTATGCAGAAGCGCTTGCTGATTCCGCAAATCAAGTAATTCTTCTAGTGATGGGAAGTATCGAGTACTTTCAGGAATCGAGTACTTCGGTATCGATTCTTTTAAGAATAAGGTATGTTCGAAATAATCGAGTAGTTTTTTGTACCAAAACTTTTTTTAGTCGGAATTTGACTTCTGCCAACACTATTTTATTTCGTCTTATTCGCATATGAATTTGGCAGCACTTTTTCACGTTTGAACGCAAACAACTCTTTTTGTTTTCGAGTTTTTGTAAAGTAAGTTTCTGCCCCTGAATAAATGTCGCAGAGATCGGACGTTTGGATTTTTTTTTAATGAAACAAAGGATATAGCGCATTGCATAATCTGCAAAAAAGGTTTAAAACATAATGGAAATACTACAAACTTAAGAAAGCACTTAGAGCGATTACACCCAGTGAAAATTTTGCGGTCACGCAGGCAAGAGCAGGCCAAGGAATCGACGGATGGTGTACAAATTTCTGTTCAAGTTCATTTCTGATGTGCAAATAGATACATATGTGGAATAAATTATAATTTAGAAGTATTTTCAGTAAGTGTTCAGGCTGAGGCAGTAGGTGATGAAGTCAGTTTTGTGGTGAATTTCATATCACAGGTAAATTAAGTCAATTATAAAACTGCAACTAATTTCAATGACTCACAATTGGCAGATCAAATTAATTTATTGGAAAGCGACGGTGTTCGACCATTGTCCACAAAAACTTACGTCAATTAAAGCTATGCAGTAAAGCAATTGCTCTCACACGGCAACGAAAAGACAGCATTAACCAAAAGCTATTAAAATTTGTTGTTTCCGACTTGCAACCATTATCAATCGTTGAAAATGTCGGGTTTAAAGAGTACACATATTCATTGAATGCCGAATATTCCATCCCTTCTAGGAAACAATTGTCAGAACAACTATTGCCTAACCTATATAATAGATCGGTGTTGGACTTAAAAAGCATGTTGCGGGATGTAAAATATGTTGCCGTGACCACGGATATGTGGACATCAGATTCCTCGATGTCATACATAACACTAACATCTCATTTTATTTACTCTGGTGAATTACGCTCTTATGTAGGGCAGTGCCCGCCAAAAAGAGAAAAGTCTTAAAATGAGAGTGTATTAGTTATGAAACAAAAAATGAGAATGTGTTGGTGGTAATGCACGGAAAAAATTTCTGTGTTGTATTACTTATTATAAAAACTTTGGTATGTTTTTTTGCCGTTTTTTTCATTGTGCACCATTTTTTTTAGATCTAAACAACATCGAAACATATAATGAAAGTTAACGGCCCTAAGAAAGGAAAAAGTTGGTAACATTTTGTATGTATTGTACAAAATTATTATTATTTTTTTATAATTTAATGGCCTTTTTCATAAAAAATAAAGTAGGTTTAAAGGGCTTTATAAATTGACGTTTTCATACATTTTTCAATTTATAAACCTTTTATAAAGCTACTTTATTTTTTATGAATAAGGCCATAAGTGTGGATTTCTGAGCAAAAAAGACAACGTGCTTCGAGCACTCTGAATATTAAAAGAAAATTTCGTTGATTTCAAGTAGAAATAAAATAAAAATATATATATCTAATATATATTTATTTTAAAATTAGGTAAAACTTGACACTTAAGAACAATTTAAAGTAACGATTAAACCAAAAGATAAATAACAAAACATATTGTATGTTTTAATTGAGGACTAGTCTGGTATTAAAAAAAATACATAATTCACAAAGTTCTTTTAATATGAAGAAAAAACACGACTTGGTACCATATACATACCTATTTCTAGGGGTGTATGAACGAAAAATTGTGTTGTAAAATTTTTTAATGAATATTCATTCATTCTGCTCAGTGTACCTACTTTATTCAACAACAATGCGTCATCAACCTGCTTCGCCTATTGTTTGCATGCAACTAAATAAAATTTGTTGCTCTTCTACTCTTTCTGTTGACCTTCGGATTGTGTACGTGTAAGAAGCCGATTGTGTACATGTGAAAGGCCGAATATAGTTCGTTTCCCAGGAAAGTGTTTGGCGGGCACTGATGTAGGCATAGTTGCCAACTTGGTGCTTTAAGCACTAGATTTAGTGCTTTTTGAAAATTAAAACGCCAAAAAAGTTACTTAGTGCCTAGTGCTTTTTTTGAACTAATATTACTCCGAAATAGTTAAAACCTGAAATAATTTGAAATGCGGAATTTACAAGAATATACAAATCTAAAATATAACCATGATTGATAAAAAGCTGAAACAGAAAATGCTAGTACGCAGGCAAGTTAGGTATTTATTTTTTTCATTTCTAATTATTTGTACAAATTTTGATTTTTTGTTACCTCCTGAGTAAATCACACCGTTTCTGGGTGCTGAATCCAAATCTGGCCGCACAATTGCTCTACCACTACAATTGTTAGATATCCTAACCTTAAAGTGCCAAAAAAAAACGGTTTTTTGAGGTTATATAATGAAAACATCAAATTTTTTGCTCATTTCTACTTAGGGCATCATTTTCGTTTGTTGCGATTCGATTTTGGTTCTCGAGATATACCAGCTTTAATGGGCAGTACTTCGGTACAACGTCATAAACATGAGTCATCATAGCATGTGTAGAGGCTATTCAATCGTTATGAGCGAAAAAGTTTTGTGTATTGATTTATGTATGTATTCTTGTAAATATTGCTAATTTTTTCATTTTGTTAAATACAAACTGTTATGAAAAAAGCATCCTTTGATTTAAAAAAATTTGGTGCTTTTAGTTTGGTAAAACGCCTTTTTTCCAAGTTTTTGGTGCTTTTTGAAAATCATAAGTTGGCAACACTGGATGTAGGGATGCACACAGTGTTGCCGCGCCGTCCCAAGAAAATGTATCACCGGCCAAGCCAAAAATGTATCCAAATGTATCCAATTTTTTACGTATCCATCTCATAATTTGTAAGAAAACCAAACATTTTGAAGAAAAAGACATAATTTAACCCATCCTAAGGACTTGGACTACGTGTATATATATTTTTATATTTCATAAAATCAAACATTTGTAATTTCAATTTATAAATTACATCTTTTATACATAAGTATTTTGCAAAGTAAGTATAAAAAATAGTAATTAATATGTTACATTTGTACCTGTACACTATGAAAAGTGTGTGTAAAACTACTACTGAAAAATATCTATTTTTCAACAGGAATCTGTATAAATATACATACGTATAAGATGTTCAGGATTCGATTTTGAACTTGAGATCTTTAAAATATACACATAAATATACACATGAAATGTTTAAAGTTGCAAAAAATTTTGAAACTAAAAATACATTTCCTACAAACAATAAACATTAGGGGATTACGTTTACTCTATTTTAAATATTTTATGTGTTATTTTGCGCTCTGCGACAAATTTGATATGTTAAAGTAAACAGGCAGTGTTTAATTTTATTACACGGTGTGCAAATTTGCACACATTAAAAGAGGAAAATGGTT